TTCGGGCCAGAGGACACAGCAGCAGCAGCAGCAGCAACAGCAGCAGCAGCAGCAACATCAACAGCAGCAGCAGCAACACCAGCAACACCAGCAGCAGCCACAGCAGTCCCAGCAGTCCCAGCCACAAGGGCAGTGGAACGCTGGCGCCTTCCAAGCGCCGGCCCAGCCGCAAGCCTACGCACCGCCGGCGGCCGCGGCAGCGCATCCTTTCAGCTTCGCAGGCATGGCGACGCCGCCACCCGCGCAAGGTGGCGGGTTCCCGGCCGCGCCGCCGCCGCCACCACCTGGCTGGCCCGGCGCGCAGCAGAATGCGCAGGGCGCGCAAGCGGCGCAGTTCAGTCCCGCCTTCTTCGCGGCGATGCTCGCGCAGATGCAGCGGAGCCAAGGCCAGAATGGACAGCCGCCGCCACCGCCGCCGCCGCAGTAAGCTGAAGCGGGGGGCGGCAGAGCGAGACGGAGAAAATGTGACGTGAGATGATGCGAGATGTGATGAGGGAAACTTATTTTGTATGAGCACCAAAGAGGGGTGGAAGGGAGGCCTACGTGGCTCACTACGATGGCGGCGATTCAGGTCAGAAAGGCCACCACTGCTGCCTTTGGTTCCATAGTTTGAATGACATGGTGCAAGAACATCGGATGAATTTCTTGTCAGACGAATTACAGTGGGTTCTACATGTGGCATGATTTGTCGATGCATAGCAAGGATACGGTATGTGTCACAGCTGGGAAAAACTCTACTACACGTTTCCACGACTCAGACCCGCACACGCTGTTCATGGCTGCGTTTGCTCGTCGGGTCAGGCATTGCACGAACGAAGAAGGAGAAAAGAAAAAGAAGGTGAACCCCCAACGTCAGGTCGACGGGAGTCAGTGTTGTGCCGAGGGAACGACGCTCATGTGAAGATGTAGCACAAGATTCGGCAGGGGCACAAGGCCGACGCACGAGATGAGGCTCGACGATCCTCCGCCACAAAATCCCCGCGGCGCCTCCCCGTCAGCCGGCAGACCCTGCCTGGATTGACCATTGACAGGCCGCCAAAGAGGCGAGGCGCTGTGACGAACGATTCTGTCTCGTGCCGGGAAAACTTCATGTCGCACTGCGAAAGCAAGACCCGCTCTCTCTCTCTCTCTCCACTGCTGACAAGGTCACAAACCGTCATCATAGACCGGGGGGATGTCACCTTCCCAGCGAAGTGGGCGACAGGTGCTCCGCTCACAGTCCGGTATTGCGATAAACGGCATCGATCCCACGATGGTGAGAAGCACTGGGAGTGGAAAGGGCAGGGAAAAAAAAAAACCACAAGCAAGGTCATTTCGGTAAGAGTGAGCGGGACGAGAATGGGGTCAAGATCTGCGCCAGACGGCTGGTGGGGCAGAGGCGGGGACGGGCTACGGGGACGTGGGCGTTTCAGAAGAGACGGGGGGTGTCGGGCCTTTGATGGCGCGCGCGGGCAGTGCGTCCTCCTCCGCCCCCCCCCCTCACCGGCGGCCACGATGCCAGGTTGGAAAAAGACGAGGCGTCGTCAACGAAACGGCGGCGCGGTCTGCTTTGCTTGGGGCTGGGTTGTGGCGGGCAGCGCAAGGTGACGAGACACGAGAAGGGCTGACTGAAATCTTGCTTGGGAACAGAGTCGCGAGAGCCCGAGCGGCGCGCAATTCATGACATGGGGAACAGGCATTTTAGGCCTTGGGTCTCTGTAGAAGTTTGGCGCGTGGCAGGTCTGAGCGGGCCTGGCGGAGGAGCTGAAATTTCGGATCCCCATGGCTCTAACGCTGTCATGGTAGCAAACGAAGGAATCGAGGGAAACAAGATGCTTGCCTACCTTACCTTGGTAAATAATGGGCTGGACTATGGGCGCTATTTGGAGACTACGAGGACGTGCCAGGCGAGTCTTCTGGAAGCAACATGAAGAGAGGCGCCCGCCAGTGCCAGGCATGTACTGTGGTACATGTACATGTAGGCAGGTACCGTGCTTGCGTGCTAGGATGGCGGCGGGAAAATATGGGCCTCCCCAAAGAACAAGGGAAGCGAAGGGGATGGGCGATGGATGGCACGGTAGCAGATCAATGACTCTGGCAGATCAATGACTCTGGCAGATCAATGACTCTGGCTCTGGAGAAAGAAATTCAACCCCCAACAATGAAGGGTATGACGATGTACAGTACCATGAACTGTCCCTACAGTGGGCCACCCACTGCTGTAAAAAGACCTGCCAACAGGACCCGGACAGGAGCCTGGCAACGATCCACGAAGATGCAGGGATACAGAGATGCAGGTCATGACTCCACCGGGTGCAAGCAAATAGGCCATGGTGATTGGCGAAAACATGTCCATCACAGGCTAATCATCTCGCTTCGTTTGTTGATCTGCGTGCTGGGAATAGAAGGCCAATCAGACATGGCGCGTGCCTGGCACGGTTCCTGAACTAGCGCCGAATGGCGGCCGTTGGATGCAATTTTGTGAAAATAGGAGAGGAGCAGCCCAGGGGGATTGTGCACAAGGTTCGATGTAGAGAGCCCAGGAACTGGGCACTATGGAATGACGGGAGGGGGCTGTTGGACATGCAGGCCCACGACCGAGGCAGGTCTCCTTCAGAGTGTGCGGCAAGGCGAGCTTCTCGTTCGAGGTATCATGGTCTGCTCTTTGGTTTGCTGACTGTTTGTTTGTTTCTTTGTTTGGTGTTACCCGTCGTTGGGGTTCGTCCGCTGTTTGACTCTGGGGGCGCATGGACGTTGCGTTCGCGGCTGGCAGGACGGCGCAGATCCGAAACACAAAGACATTGCCGTCTCTCTCTCACGGGACGAACGGCAAGGGCCGGCACCTTAACCCTTAACCTGCCTACCACTTACCATGTACCTACCGTAGGTGCCTACCTCCATGTACCTACCGTAGGTGCCTACCTCCATGTCTCCAGGTACCATGTAGGTAGGTGAAAACTGCCGCAACGTTCGATGGCGACCTGACAGGGAAACCACCGCCTCGCTGGCAGCTGCCTTTCAGCCAAGGACGGCCCTGCTTCCCTTGAATCCGCCCTGCCGTCTGTGTCTCCCGCCCCCTTCCCACCCCTTCCCACCCCTTCCCCTTCCCATGCTTGCCATGTTGGTGGCCCCCCCCCCCCGACCCCTGGTTCTTCCTGCCAGCTCACAACCCCCCTCCCTCGCCCTTGGCGCGCCATGCCTGTGCCTGTCTGTGCCTATGCCCTCCGTTGCGTTGCGTTGCCCTCCTTGCCCTCCCTCGAAGCGTGGAATGTCCCTTCCACCGCCCCGGGCCTCATCCTTGACCCTCTACGCCGCCTCTCCGCCGCCGTCGCCTACTCCTGCTCCTCCACCTCTCCTCTCCTCTCCTCTCCTTCTCACCACCTCTCCCTCCCTTCCAGGTCCTCGCGCTCACCACCACCACCACATACGCCGTGTCGAGTCGACTCTCCCTCCAGGACTACATCGTCTAGGTCGCCCAACGCAACTAGTTGCTCGCCTCTACGTGTAGATTCGTCCGTTCTTTCTGCCACATCCGCCCTGGCCTAGCGCCCATTTTCATTCCTTCATTCCACACATTCCAACCATTACACCAAAATACCCGACCATTGACTACACCATTCGTGTCGCCGAGACAATAAGCGCAGCAAACCTTCGGAACAAGCCGACGACCACACTCACTCACACGCCGCACTTGACGCGCCGCCGCTTCCATTCTTTCTCCCACAAGTCAAGGTCGACCCATCCCCGTTTACATTCCAAACGACCGACCTAGCAACCCGATCCCCCCGTTGAAGGCCGCATACAAACCCAGCCACCCAAGAATTGGTCCCCCAGATTCCCCGACCGCTGATCCTAAACTTCCTTCGACGACCCTGTTGCTGCGAGCTGGGCAACCGGTCTCTTCGACCTCGTACAACCACCACGATCGGCACTAACAACAGCAAAGAACAACAACAACAACAGCAACGAAATCGACCGCCAGTCGGGCGCTGACAACCATGGCGCACTACCACCACCAACATCTCCATGAGAGAGCCGACGACGTCTGGCAGAACGTAGGAGATGCGCTGAACGACCTCAACCCTTTCGGCAGCAGGGACGAGGACGATGAGGAGGAAACGACCCGTCGCAGTGGAGGTAAGCATCACGGCGCCAGGCTTCTGGATGCGCGGCACCGGATCGCGCTCATGTTGGCTTCGCGACTAACACCCTCCTAGGCACGACAATCATCCGCACCGTCATTCAAACGCTGCCCGCCGATTTTGAGGGCTCCGTCGCCAGCTACAGGACCATCAGGGAGGAAGATGAGCGCACGACGAGAGCCACGCCTACCACCATCCAGGGCGCCGGCTCACCCCTCCGTCCGGAACCCAAGTCCTCGGCCTCCTCGCCGGCCAGAGACGCGACGACAACACGCGAGTCCGCCAAGAAGACCACCACAGCCATTCCTACCGTCATCAGCGAACCCACAAAGACAAACGGCATCCCCACCACACTGGCCGTGGCTTCGGATGCGCCTGAAGCTCCCACCCAGCCGAGCAGGGCCATCGGCGCCGGCCAAATCACGTCCGCCTCGACGCCTTCTGCCAGTGCGCAAGCCCAGGCAACGACCAGTCCCGAGCCCAGCGGCGCTGCCAAAGCTGGCATCGCCATCGGCGTCCTTGCCGGTGTTTTCCTACTCGGTCTCGCCGTCTTCTTCCTCTTCAACCGCCGCAAGAGACAGGTTGAACGCGAGAGGCTCAACGATGACGATGAGAAGCTCCATAACCCCTTCGCTGCGCCTACAACAGCCACTGCCGTCGTCGCCGGCGAACGCTCCAACCCGCGTGCCCCGCGTATCAGTCTCCGTCCCGTCACCCAGTTTCTGCCAAATCTCAACTTTGACAAGCGCGCCAGCAAGGGCGCCAACATGGCCATGGCCTCCACTGCTGGTGGTCTGACGCCCAGCCACTCGGCTCACTCTGGCTTCAATGCCTGGGATCGACCTGCGACCAGCGAGAGCGCCAAACCCAGCAACCCCTTCGGCAACCAGGCCGAGCGCGCGCCAACGCCCATTGCCGAGGAGCCTCTGACACCAGCCGCCGATAAGCCACTCCCACCCGGTCCTGTCGCTGCACCTCCCGGTGATGCTTGGTCGGCTCACGCGCCTGCGGCTGCAGCTGCCGGCGCCGCAGTTGCTGCGGGAGCCGTCGGGGCGGGCCTCGCACGCAAGGCTTCTACGCGGAAGGGCACCCCGAAGGATCTTGATCTCACTCTACCCGCGCCTCTGTCTGTCGTTCCTCCCAGCCCTGCCGGTACTGAATTCAGCATGAACTCCGAAAGCCCTGATCAGCCAAACCCTACGGGCTCCACCGGTGCTGCCGCTATTGCCGCTGCTGGTGGACCTACCAACTCGACTGTTCACCGCGTGCAGCTGGATTTCAAGCCCACCCTGGAAGACGAAATGGGCCTGAGGGCCGGCGAAGTTGTTCGCCTGCTTCACGAATATGACGATGGCTGGGTGCGTTGTCAACCTCCGTGATATTGAACTCAATTACTGACATGTCGCAGGCGCTCTGCATTCGACTTGATAGATCCTCGCAAGGTGTTGTGCCCCGAACTTGTCTGTCGGCTCGCCCTGTGAAGCCTCGCCCGCAGAACGGCGGCCCTCGAGGCCCGCCCATCAACGTTGGGCCCCCGCGCGGACCTGGCCCCAGCCACGGCCCCCGTTCCATGCCACCTCAAGGTGGCCCGCCTTATCAGAGGCCCACGACGCCTCAAGGTGGCCCTCGCGGTGCTCCCCGGCCCATGGGTCCCCCCGGCGGACCTGGCTCTCCGGGTGGGCGCCCGATGAGCCCCGCAGGTCCTCGCGGCATGAGCCCCGGACCTCGCTCACAGTCCCCTGGACCCCGCTTCCAAGGCCCTCCCGGTGGCAGGTCGCAAAGTCCTGCCGGTGCCAACAGGATCCCCCATCCTTCTCGGATGAACCCTAATTCCCCGCCGCGCGATTCGCACATGTCCCAGGGACCTCCAACGGGCCCTGTAGGCCGCAAGCCAGTACCAGGGCAGGCGTATTAGACACGATCCCGATCGTGTTGAGCGCTTCGCGCCCGTACATAAACTCCTCTGCTATATGAAGGACGGCGGTTTCGGTGGTCTGGCAATAAAAAGCGCAGTGCGTGCATTCTGGATAGCACAAGGGGCAGGCGTTTTCAGCACCGACGAGACCACTCCAGCATTCGCCTGGGGCTCTTGACGACGAATCCTACGACATAGGAACAACGACATATTATACCATTCCCGTCACTCTCTCACTCACGATTCTTTCTCTCGTATATTCTTCGCCGGCCCCACCTCGTTCAAGGTGGCGGCTGTTTCTTCTTTCCCTCATTCATCCTCTTCTCCCTTCTTCACTTTTTTTTTTTCGAACCGCGGAGTCTTCCGCTCCAACTGGATGGATTCCTTTTGACTTTCAGAACTGGATTGCGCAAGCCTAGTGCTTAATGTGTATTCAGTGATCAGGAGAGACCTGCCTGGTGCTGGCTGGCTGAGATGGAATAGGGAAGCGTATGATGACATTTGGTCATGTTTGGATATGGCTTTGGAGGACGGCAAGGGTGAAGTAGGGGTTGTCGGGGGAGATGTTGGCCTGCGGGAGGAAAGTTAGACAGGACTAGAGCTTCCATGGTTCGCCATGAGGTTAACACTAGGTAGACAATGATCACTCGTATCATGAGAGTTTGCTTGCAGAGCGATGATTGTTTCATGTGCCCGTACTTCAATCCTCCTTTGCTGAATGCCCGGCATTGAACAACGGGTTTCTTCTCTCACAAGAGCCCGCCAGCGGGCTCCTTAGACCACCAAGATGATGTCGTGTCGCATGTCATTTGCCCGAGCAGCGAAAGATAGTCCAATCGATAGGCGAAATATACCTCCAGTTGCCCCTCCCTTGGTGATCATGTAGCACGAATGCAGCGTTGCACCAGCTAAAAGTAGAAGTTCTAACGACGTGCAAGACCATTTTTCCAGTCATTTTCCTACGGCAATCATGTTGACCGAGGACTGTGCCAAGTATCTACGCGCCAACACATTCTTTCTTTGTCCTTCCTCTTTCGGTTCAAGAGGGGCTAAAAGCCATGCAGCATCGGACTTCCCAGTTGGCTAAGCCTCATAATCCTCGAGCCAACGGCCTGCCAATATTTCTATCTCCTCTGCAAGATAGCTGGTCAAGTTGTGGAGGGCGCCTTAAAAAGCTACCCAGACATCACGTCGCTTATTGTTGAGTCATTCCCCAGCTTCTATATCCTGCCTTGTCCGACACTGGCCTCGGCCCCTTTTACACAATCTGGAACAAAAGTCAAGTCGAATCCCCCCAGATTCCAGACGTCCGCCATGAGTACCAATGACACCCAGCCCCTTGGTGGTGTACCGCCCGGGGCGCCTCAGCACACCTGCTGTCCAAGTCAAAGCTGGACACGCGACGGCTACCCCATCGTCGACGGCAAATACCACGACCTCGTCACCCACAAAATCAAGACGCACACCGGTCTCGTCCGCGGAGGCCCGCCCTTGACATCTGTGTACTGGCAGGATCGCGCCCCCGTCGGCCGTCCCGGTCACTTCGTCGCCATGGGCGCGATGAGCAGGCACAAGGGGACCGAGTAGCTCGTCCGGGTGGGCGAGATGCTCAAGGCAGGCGGAGCGTCTTCGGAGGAGTGTTCGGCCCTATTGCGGGAGAACGGGCTACTGCCGTAGTCTGGATATCATTGGGCGCGTCTTGTGGTTTGAAGCTGAATGGTTTACTTGTCTGTATACTTGTACGGCAGGAGTGGTGTCTTCTTCGTCCACTTAGCGAAGACCTCGTTCAGACCGCAGGATGGCGTAGGGGACACATCTTGAGATTTGAGTGATCCTCTATCGGAACATCCTCTTGCAGGTAGTTTGATCCATCTCTCTGGTCTCTGCATGTTTGTACCCAGATCTAGTCCTTCTAAAAAAAAAAAAAAAAAAAAAAAAAGAAAAGGAAAACTTTCTGCCTCGGCAGCGTACGGGTTGAAACAGAACCCAGCAAGGACAGATTGGAGGTCCTCCTCTGTAGGCTCAATCTTTTCTAGCTAAGTAGCTTAGCAGCACCTTCATTCTCTGGGCAACTGTGGGAAGTTGGTGCAATAGGGCGCCTTGCCCCCTATCGTACATTCTAAGTGAATGGTGTATGCGAGTCTAAGTCGCTCGGCATGTGGAGGCAGGTCTGGCCGCGACATGGGCATAAGGGTATAGAGGCAATTTTCTTGTGTCACCAGTGTAGATTATCGGAGACAAATGGATAGCTTGACTACCCTGACGGGTCCTAAAACTGATGAGAGAATTGGCTTTCTGGAGGTCTATGACTTTTGGGGTCTAAAGGACACCTTCTCCTCAAGACTCTGCGTAAAGAGTTGTCTTCACAATAAATGACCTGGTAGCCAGGCTATTGATATTGATCAGGTATCACGGGTTGGATCCTGTGTTAGCATGGACCATACTTCTACGTACATCGTCACCCGCGCGATACCGGAATAGTAGTGCATCAGCGACGCGAAGTCCCAGCGAAAATGAAGCGTTCTGCGGCCGAGAACGCACGACCTCCTGAGCAAGGAGGCCACGGACGCTGCAACTCTCTCTGTTTTTGTCTTCTATCTCAGGAAAATAGATTATCAGTCTCACTTGCTCTCTCCCATCTATGACCAGCTTCTCAATACCAGTGAAGAAAAGCAGCGGAGAGTCGGACGAACCGCCTTTCGAAGAACTGAAAGCTTTGAGAGCGGCTTGAAGACCGAAGCCTATGATACCGGCGAAAAGACTTCTTCCCAGCCTTGAACCCCTCCCCTCTAAATTGCTCTTTTATACGAAAGGCTCAACGCCAGGAAAGGAAGGAGGGGTTTCCCTTCTAGCCTCTATCTGGTTATGATGAGTCGGGAAAGCCATGACATCCGGGACACCCGCCCGCGATGGTCATGATCGTATAGACTTGCGTATCCCTTGAACGCTCATGGAATTGCCTGGATATATAGCTCGGCAAATGCATCCCTTATACCGACGCGGTTGTAAACTCTATTGAACTAGCTTTGCCAGCTAGAACCTATTCTCGGGATCTGAAGGAATCGTAAGACCAGCAGGGAACTACCTGGTGCTTGATTGCAGAAGTCAGAAGGAGAGGACCGCGGGCAGCGAGGCAGTAGTTATAAGGAGGGCCATTGGACCAGAGTTGAAGGAATGACACCTGTTGTTTTACTTATCTATAACACCTAGGTACCAACAGTTGATGCCTTCACCACTCGCGAGTCTCTAATGTCATAAATATGTAAATGTATTGTCCTTTTGTAAATGTGTAGTATCCCATATGGGGAGGGAATTCGTTCTTGCCTAAGATAGACGACAAATAGTTGTTCAATAGCTCCTGCTAGAACATTCTCAGGTCCAATTTGGGAACTGGAGGACTGTTCTCCAAGAGTCTCAACCAAGGAACCATGTCTATCACGATATCAGAGTGTGCTCTCATACAACGAGTCCGCACCGCAGTAGCAATGAATGCCCACGATCATCCGAGGCAAGATAGAGGCAAGCTTTCCATTAAGAACATGACCAAGTTCTTCGTTCGACCTGTCACCAGCGACACTGCTCGTCCAGCGAACAGGATGCGGTCCCCTAGACCCCTATACTAGCATCATGCATCCAGAAATACCCTTCACCATCACGGAACGGATACCGCCTCACTAACAAATGAACAACGTCAAGGATCAGTCCACCTTTATGGCCCAATATCAAGTGCAGCCGTCACTCAGGCGCAGGATTACAGCACGAAGGCTCCAGTTGGATGGTCAGCTCCACGCTCCTGCGCCGAGACACGGCAACCCTGCCGCACCCCGCGCGCCCACCAGGACCTCCAAGCTGCCAAAAGGAGCAGCCACCGTGCACCAGCGCACGTCGTTTTGTGGTTGATGTAACATCCCCTGAGCGATCGAATAAGGGATCTGCTTCCGCTGGATAGTGCTCGACGGGCAATTGGCGTCCATTAAACGACTTTGCCTCAGCTGATCGCCGCTGTTGGGAGATGCGCATCCAGATTGATCCCCCCTCCCCGCGGGGTCGCGGGGCGACGATATGCAGAGCCGTGTTGCCCCTGGCGCAAGGGGGTCATCTATTTTTTATCTCTCCGAATAGGGACGCTCCCGAAATGGGAATGATCCTGCTCGTCTGTTCCCTAAATTTTCTTCGTTAGACGTAGCACGCTACTGAGGACGTCACGACGTGATTCCCTGATCGGCGCGAGATGGGCATGGTGACCTTGACCGGCCCAGCGGAGCCGGGCACAGAGCCGTAACAAGAAGGACCATTAAGGCCTTGACAATGGGTGACAGTCTCGATAGTCTGGGTCGACAGTCCGGGCTAAGGCGCACGACTCATCCAGAACGCTTCGTTGCTAGTTAGCTCGGCAAACATGGATGGTACCCTCGGCACATGGCTGGCAGGGAATCCTTCACTCACCGACACAAGCAGGGACACTTAGAACGACAACTTCAGGAAATGGATCGACAAAGCCTCACGACCTCGGTCTCGCACGGAACAGCATCTCAGCCTCGAGGCTGGCGGCTTTCTGTTCTGCCCAGGAGGCGTTGGGTCTAAACGCCGGCGTCATCGAGTCGCTGTACTTGACAGAGTCTTCTCAATGATACTTGCACGCCTCTCGACAATCGGTCCCCTGATCAGGGAGGCGAGGCGGGTCATCAGACCCCAGCAGGCATCGCCCGAAAGCAACGGCGCGCGGGGATAAATGCCCCGGCTAAATGCGAGTCTCAGGCCTTGCGAAGTGGGCTCGCGTGTCTGGGGCACCCACCCTGGCCATCCAGCTGGACCTGGAGCAGGCATGAGAGTGAACCACGAGTGAACCGAATGTCGCCTTGAATTTGTAAATGACTACGGCAAGCTACCAGAACCCGCTGCTACGTTTGGTAGCGCCGGAGAGGAGTGTTTATTTTGGCATAGCCAGAGACAAGCTTGATGACGGGCGCCGGCGCCATTGCGTGCTAATATTGATGAGCAGTGAGCCAGCCTGGACTGCTTCAACGCTCGCTTCGGTTTCCAGGCCTGCGTGCCAGCTTTGGCCCATCCCCAGTGCCATGGAATGCATACCTGGCTCGGATGGGACATTGAACGGACTGTGATACTTCGAGCTGGTTTGCATGGTTGATAAGCGGGCCTGACAGCTAGACAAAGCATTGATGTTGCCAAATCTCGGCTTGCTGGTCGAACTTGGCTGGTGAAGAGAGTGGATCTGGGGTCTGACCTGCAACGCCTTTGCCGTGCCATCGAACGATGGAAGTGCTAGTCGATAAAGGAGTGCGCGGCAAGCGAAATGCAGCACTTTTCTGAATTTCTTGTTGTTACAGAAGAGTCTATGCAGCGCGGTATACTTCGTAAGTCTCGGTGTAGAGATCGAATGAAGCCTCTAACAGAGATGAACGAGCACATCCATGCTTCCCAAAACGTTGACGAGCATCATGCACTACTGCGCCCCGGCTAAGACCCTTCGCCTTGGAAGGCTATGAGCTGAGCCCATCTCAACTGAGGCAAGGTGAGATAGGTGCTTCACTAGAATTTATCCGGCACGTGGCTAATATATTTACTGCTCCAAGCCGGTCGGGTGTTCCACGTCGCTGGTACACCCCACGAAGTGCTGGTGGCAATCTATAGACTTTTTGCAAAGCTCTGTAGGTGTGAGGATTGCGCCTGTCGCAGGGACGAGAACAACTTTAATCCCTTCCGCTCCGGTTGGCACCGAATGTGTGTGGAGTATCTAAATCCTTCATGTGTCTGACCAGATGCCCTTTCTTTGGTGTAGCCTCAGGTGGTCGGCAGGCGTCGTTACCGGATCAAAGGCATGTCTGGGCGAGGCACACTTCAGAAAAGTGTATAGTCGTTGCCTATGTCATATCAGTACACGTTAACTCGAGAGACTCGCGAACATCATGATACTGAAACCTTCCGGCGAGGTGTGGATGCGTGTCGTGTGTCGCACTGCGTTGTTGCCACCCTGCTTGCCTAATTCTGGTCAAAGCTTGCTAGATGATATTTGGGACTTCGTAGGAGACCTAATGATTCATTCGGACTCTAAGCCAAGGCATCAGGAATGGAAAGGATGAGCCATCCCTGTGCAATCCATCTCTCAACCACAGCGCAAAATACCTGTGGCGAGAAGCAGCTGGGAGGACGGAACTTTTTGGCCGAGACCCAAAGGGGATGTGTTACACGTATTAGGCTTGTACCACACTTGTGATGGTAGCTTTGCGGTACGTCCATGACGCGCGTCGTGCGTCTACGAGGTCAATCGTGTACGGGGAGAAGCGGCTACACCTTTCCCCAGTATTTGAGCATCACACCTGCAGCGCTAGAGGACCCTGTTAGGGCGGCTAGCGACTTGACCGTGAAAGATAGAACCGCATGGGGTTGGAATCTGGGGAAGCTTGTGTCCTGGGGAAATCTCATCGGGCTGCACATGCTCGTCGTCCCGTGCCGTTCGGAGTAGATGCGTGGAACTTGAGGCACATTCTACTGGTAGTAAGGTGTCATCTTTTTGAATGACGCTTCCTTTGAGAACTAGTTGCCTTTATGATCTTCCGAGGCTTCAG